ACCAATATCTAGCTATATTGATAGCTTGATTAGGAACATCCCACCCAGCTTCCCATCTTACATTCAGGACACGAACCACTTCCTTAGAGAAATTTCTAAAATTAATATCCCTAGAGATGCTTTTCTCGTTACGATGGACGTGTCGTCTTTATATACGAACATCCCCCACAGTGATGGCATAGAGGCCCTTGTTAATGCGTACGACACTCACAGGAGTGACGATTTAGCAGATAAGCATGTCGTGGCTACTCTCTCGAAACTGGTGCTTGAGTTAAATAGCTTTGAATTCAATGGAAGTTTCTTCCTTCAAACCAGCGGCACTGCAATGGGAACGAAGATGGCACCTAACTACGCTAATATATTTATGGGAAATTTAGAATCCAACTTTTTGGCATCGCGTTCACTTAAACCACTTTTCTATAAAAGATACATTGACGATATATTTCTTATCTGGTCGCATTCGGAAGAAGAGCTTCTCGAGTTCATTAGAGCTTTTAATTATGCGCACCCCTCCATTTCTTTTACACATAGTTACTCAAAATCGGAAATTACCTTTCTAGACACAAGAGTGCTAATTAATGACTCTAAATTGGCCACTCAACTGTACCGAAAACCTACGGACCGTCAGAAATACTTGCACTACGACAGCTGCCACCCACGGCACTGTAAAAATAGCATACCTTATAGTCAGGCTCATAGGTTTAAACGTATATGTTCCAACAACGACGATTTTAAAATAAACACCGATCAATTACGCCAAGTCCTGAAAGAACAGAAGTACCCGGAAAAAATCATAGACGATGCGATCAATAAGGCACAGGTCCTTGATCGTGGCCTCTTGTTGAGTGAGCGGAGCCCTCAGACAGAGGAGCGTCGGGCGAACCTCGTACTAACTTTCAACAATAAGACTCCGAATGTCGCACCCATATTAAGAAAACATTTTAACATTTTACAACAAAGTGAACGCCTCGCAAGAATTATCCCCTCCGTTCCCAGAGTGGTCTACAGACGCTCACGCAATCTTAGGGACGCCATAGTTAGGTCTAAGACAACCTACACTGAAAGCACTGGCAGTCGTCCTTGTGGAAGAACAAATTGCGATGTCTGTCAACACGTGACACCTAAAACCACGGTAGAGAGTACGAATTCCAATTTCACCTACATAATCCACGGAAACTTAAACTGCAGCACAAGTAATGTGATATACCTCCTCACATGTGGCACCTGTGGTAAGCAGTACGTGGGCCAAACCAGCACACCTTTCCGATTGAGGTTTAACAACCACAGGGAGCATGTAAATTCATTTCCCAAACTCCCCCTTTCAAAACATATGGCTTTACCCAAACACACGTTTGACAAACTGGACGTTACATTTTTACAATCCAATTTCAAAAGCAACCGTGATCGCGAGCAGAGAGAATCGTATCTTATTTACAAATTTAATTCAATCCGGGCCGGTATTAATGAAGATCCAGGTATAATGTCATCTATGCATGCAATCTACCTTGATCCCCCTGTAGCGGAGTGACTGTAGCTAATTCAATCGCATTCGTTCAACCCTTTAATTTTTTCGTGTACCTTTCTGTAATTTTTTCGTGTACCTTTCTGGGACTGTGGTTAACACTGTTATATTTAGGATTTTTTTTTGTTTTTTTTTTTGTTTTTTTTTTGCAGATTTGTTTATGCTTTTCGGCCCAGCGTTTGCCTAATTTAATGAATGCGCTTTTTTTATTTTTTTTATTTTTTTTTGAATGCAGAGGATTTGTTTATGGGCTTTGGCATTGATTTACTCTGTGTGCTTATTCACCTATTCTTTCTCTATGTATGGGTATTTTCTATGTGTTTTGGCGTTATTTACTGTGTGCGCTTATTACGTTCCTCCCCCCCCCCCCTTTTTTTTTTTTTTTTGCTTTGTTTGATTTTTCGTTCTTCCGCGGCGTGCGTTGCTGGCCATCTGGGCCGATCCATCTATGTGAACGTTACTGCGCCTTCCGCACGTGACGTTCCTGGGGTCACAAAGTCTGACGTGGCCTTTGGTTTGCTCCGATGGCTGGCGGCGTCTGCTGCGGCCGTGCGTGGAAGGGGGGGAGTACAGCAGCGTTTTTTCACTTGGGCTCTTTTACTTGGGCATTTTTACACGTGATCTGACAGGTGACGTGGCCCGGGTGGGGAAAGCGAAAACAACCCTGTAACCGACTCTGGCAACCAGTCTTGAAGAAGGCCTGTCTCAGGCCGAAACGTCGACTCACTAAATGCTTTAAAACTCCAACAACGTTTCGAAGTGCGACTTTATTACTTATATATATATATATATATATATATATATATATATATATATATATATATATATATATATATATATTACTTTTTTTAATTTGTTATAATTTAAGAAAAAAAAAACTGAAGGGCAGCAGCGGCGAACTTCACGCTTGGAAACTAATTCGTTATGGAATACGAAATCAAAGGAAATGCCAATGATACATATTAAGTGGAAAATAAACATTACAATGTAGACCATACGCGAAATGCACAGTGCCATCTATTGGGGCGCTGAAGGACATTATCCGTCTCATCAGCTGGTTTTGGAGCTAGCAAAGGCCAGGGCGCGAAAGCGTAGCTCTGGAGAATCGTTCGATCGCACAAACACTTGCGCAGAGAGAGCGCTTTCGAAAACCAGGCGCCAGCGCCCGTGCCTTTGACGGCCCTCAAAGACAAATTTTTATCTGATGTGTGCGTCCAGCATGCTTGTTGCGGAGAGAAACCAGCGACCGGTTGAACGAAGTGCACGTATCTGCGCAAAGAGAGCGTGAAACACTACTAACTCTTAGCTAGCAGCAGGTGTGGGAGAGGATCCAAGACGGTGAGCAGTAGAACTCAAATTGCTACCGACAACGCTACGAAATTGAGAAACAGCAGAGGAATCTCGCCGCAACGAAGACGGCAGATCACAGAGTGTTCCCAGACGTCCGAACAATAGACCCATGTCACCAAGCGAACTGCGTAGGAGCGCGCATTCCGGAAGTGGTGTCGCCGCCATGCTACTTGTAGTCATCCTTTCCTGGCTTCCCTGCTACATACGGAGGCGCGTACGTACATCATCATAGATTATCATTTGGCACGCCCCGGTATCACCTTGATTCTCTTATGTTTTTACTTCCTAAGATTGTGTTGTTTGTGATGCCTTACTTTCCTTAGCAAGTGGAGAAAAGCAGTTTAAGTCGTCTTATCGCTTTAAATCGCTTTTTGTCTGCTTCGTCGTCGTCTGCTTCTCCGTTTTCGTGAGCGCGTGAGCTGACTGCGGTTCACGGGGTAATCCCGCTGCGACCGCGGAAAAAAACAAAACAAAACAAAAAAACTACTCGAGCATTGCGAGTCCACGGACGTCTCAATTACCTTGCAAACAAGTGAACATCTAGTGCAATAGCAAAGAACAAGAAAATTCGAGGGACCATCGGCTCGGTGAAGCACCACGGAACAGCATGAAATGTGATGAAAAACTGAGCTTGGTGGTGCTGAGTCTTGTGCATAACGTTTAATCAGCCATGAAGTAAGAGGAGCTAAATAGACTTTCTCGGTCAGGGATAGTTTTCTAAAAGTTGTTTCATTCTGGTTGACAGCCTGTGCGACAGAGTACAGATGAACAGCGGGAGAAGCCTGCACATAAAGAACTGATCTACAGAAAGGCCATGCCTGACGGGCCGTAATAATTGGCATCTATCAAAAAAAAAAGCAACCATGCCAGATACCTGAAAGCTTGGGGTGGAGATGATTTTTCGTGCACAGTTTCTATTCAGTTTAACTTTGTTTGGGCAAGATCCGAACGCTAACAGTCGCCCGACGGGGGAAGCTTTTTTTCTGCGGTCTCGACTGGTGCTAGTGCAGAATGAACCAGTAACACCAGCCTAATAGACCACCACAAAATGAATGAGGTTGGTTTGTTACATTTTTGGTGGTAAGTACGTGTTGCACTTCTAAATTGCATTATGTAATCTTTTCGCGTTGGTATGAAAAAAAAAATGAAGGCTGCTTCCGAAAAAAAGTTGTTTTATATCAAATGGTGCATATCGGGAATCGCTGCTCTTTCTTAGTGATTGTCCTGATCTTTTGAAGCACAGTTGTGCTTGAAATATGTCGTCGCAATAACAGTAATAACCACCAAAATACACCGAGCAAGAAGTGTTTTAAAAACGGCCTCCGCAAAGCAGTGCGGAGGTCCTATTTGAGATAGACCAATGAATAGGCCGCTACGGAGCAAATGTTCAGAGAGATTCCAGCTTACGGAACACTTAGATAGATAGCTCTATGTCTCTATGTCTCGTGCCCTGTAGTCTTACATATTTTAGCTGACGTACAATAATTGGATATAAATTATGAAGCAAATCGCGAAAGAAATCGTAAAACGCTATTTTTCCTGCCGCTCTGTCCGGCTCTGCCGCTCTGTCCGGGGAGACATAATATCCGAGGCCTTTTTGCCTGGTGCGGTTATTATAGCTCCGTGGCGCACACCATGTGAAGCCACCGATTGAAAACCATGAGTAAACACCTGGCTAAAAGTCTCGTGCTAACCCGAAAATTTCCAAACGCCCGGCGTACAATGCGCGCCGAGGCGGCCGAAAAACTGGGGAGAACTACAGGTACCAGAATGCACCGCGGCAGCGGTGGCGTCGCGCAACTCCTCGTGAGATCGGTCTATTTCGCATCTCTACTTAAATGGCGTGTTGAAACATTTTATACATTTTTACGTATACATCTTATGTTTGATAGTTGAAGGCTATATTAGCATATTATTATAAGATGTATCCGTATAAGCTTACATAATCTGTCATAAAGGACCACCCTATAAATTGATTGTGTATACTAGGAAAACCGACGGCCCCTTGGTCACAGACAACTTCATATCCCATGTCAGAAATTCCCACCTCAAGAATAGAAAAATGACCTCGTAATATGTAACGTGGTCGTAGCGGTTCAATTGCAAAATAGGATTATGGTGAACTTACGCTGTACGTCCTGATGTTTAGGGATTCATACAAGTCCTGGGTTGTCAGCGTGTGGCAGCTTTGACCCAAGTAGCACGCCCTCATCACGAGGCCGAAACTCAAGTGCGTCTAAAGCGCGATCCAAACCAACGCTTCTTTTTGCGCCTGTAGGTCGTGCGGCTGCGGATGTGACGCATTTCCAGACGTTTTTGCTGTTTCCGGGCGCGCTTTCTGAGTCAGAACCGTGCGCTTTGGTTTGGACGGGCCAGCTTCGGGCCAGCTTCGGGCGAGCGCGCACGCGCGCAACAGACTGGCCGCCCAGGCCAGTCTGTCGCAGCCAGAAGGCGGCGAGAGAGAGAGAGAGAGAGAAATCGCGTTGTTATGTTGGAAGAGAATAAAAGTGGGGGGAGGAGAGGGCCAATTCTGAATGCGCACCGGGCGCTTTTGTCACTTGCTCTGAGAAGGCGGCGAAGAAACGCGGAGCCGGAACTAGCTTGCCCTCCACCGATTGGCCGGGACACAGGAGCGCCCTATTCGCGACTCCAGCGACCTATAGGGGGCGCCACCACCAAACAAACATGGCGGCTGGGTCCAGGTCGCGTCGGCTTGGCCGGGCCGCCTGAACGGGTGGTGCATTCAATTTGACATATTTTCTTTTGTTTAATGTCCAATTTTATAGGCATTTGAACTGAGACGGTTAAGTGTAGCCGGTGCACATAAACTTGCCGAGCATAGTTTTGTTTTTCCGGTGTTTCGGAGACTTCGTTCAAAACCGAAACTATGGGCTCCGGAGAAACGGTAATAGACTCTAATTAGTTTTGATCATCTAAGGAAAGCGGCGATGGCTACAGAATTGTTCCACCGAGGGTAATTTTTAGCTAACTCGCATGCCTCGACCATGCGACCTATCTGTCCGAGAAATCGAGCTTTTGTGCTTATCCGCGTTTAAGAAACAGCTTCAGTCGTCTGCTCGGTCAACAACACAGGCTGCAGGAAAATTACGAAAATTAACCACGCGCTTCTTGGGCCAAGGAGCATGTTAACCCGCTGGCGCTTCACTAAGCAGCTGATACTCGTATTTCAATTCAGGTTTTAGCAGCAATCGAGAAGTTATTTTGACGAGTGGGTAATGCATTTTATTACGTACTATGGTCCCACTAAAGCGATATTAGTATATTTTTCGGGCTGAAATATGAACTTAGTTGACTAGCTATCAGCTGACCTGCTGAATAAAAGTATATTTGAAAGACAGAGAGATACTATGCTTAAACTTAGCCAAATGGTTCTAGCCGGTAGCACGGAGACGAATGCAAACAAACTGAGGAGAGTCTTCATCGGAGATTCACTCAGAACCTCTCTGCATTGAACTTGACTTCGAATCATGAACGGATAAAATGAGTATATATATATATATATATATATATATATATATATATATATATATATATATATATATATATATATATTTTTTTTTTTTTTTTTTTTTTGTGGCCGGTCAAACTGAGCAACGTAGACGTATATTGCTGTGGCTTCGACGGGGGTATAATATAAATATTAGAGGCGCGATAGATCCTAATGCCGTGGCAGCTTCTAACTTTGCGAGACGCGTCCCCCACCTTTTGAAAGCAGATAATTTCCTCATTAATCATATGCAACGAGAAGGTTTTCCTAAATAATGTAATTGCGAAATTCGCCCAACTCCTTCAGTGTGGTCCAGAGGCTTTTTCGGCGAAAAGCAGCCAAGATGAATAGCCAACGCACCGGCCGGCGTGGGGGGCTTAAACTTGAAGCTAATCGAGCAACACCAAACTTAAGAAAAGCAGCTATCGAACCTTCCCATCCAATTGACTGCAACATTGGTGTTCCCCTCCAGTGAAACACCTCGTCTGTCGTCCTTAGTCCACTGTTCTACATCCTTATAAAGAAACCACTTATTAATTACCAAGTAGTCGTCACTTTGAATGTGATTCAAGACAGACAAGAAATCAAAACGTTTTTCCGTGATTCCTTCCCACCCAAAAAATCGATAGCACGCGACCATGTGTTGTGGAGTAAACGGGCTTTCAAACACGTGGTGGAAGGAAACAAACTACTGAGGCTTCACCACACTAATAAACACCCAGGAAACCTTAAAAAAGAAAAAAAAAATCGGATTTTCGTTAATTTACATTGTTCGCCACCGCGCCGACAACACGTGTCCGCGAAAGCTACCAGAGACGCGGAGGGGCGCGGAGCGACTTGGACCGGCTGGTTCCCGGTTTTCCCGCTTGGCGGCGTCCGTTTTGCTGGAGTCGCGAATACGTCACCGCGCGTTTTTGTGCGCGTTGAGAAAGAAGTTGAAATTATCCAACTTTTTTGTGCGCGCCCGAAAGGAGCGAAGAAGTGGCGCGACGTCACGAAAATGCGTCACATCCGCAGCCGCACGACCTACAGGCGCAAAAAGAAGCGTTGGTTTGGATCGCGCTTAAGCCAGAACGAAAGCATGAACCTCCTTAAATTTGCTCCAACCTTCGTAAAGCAAAGCTAAATATCCCAATTGTTTGCAGAACAGAGCTCGCGTCATTGAACATACTTTTTGCAAACGTGAAAGAGCAGCAATAGAAAATAGATAAAAGAGTTAACGCTGACTCCATTTTAGCAGAGGTCATGGCAGGCTGCACCTGCAGCTGTTTATTGCTTGAAAAAGAGACCACGTGCGAACTGCAGTTGCGCAACTTACGTGGAGCGAGACAGGCCTTTGGCAAGTGGTACTATTCAATTGTGTGTCAATACACATGCAATGTTTATACAGCTACATTACTTTCCAGATGAATGCGACACGTCAGTCCGGTTGTCGCTTCAGTTGTACAGTTTCAAGAAAAGGGAATTTTAAGGGCCCTGTCGCGGCAGGATTGTAAAACTTCATGGTCTTGTATCACAGTACTGGCGCTAGATTTATATTAAAATGTTCAGTTAAACATGATAAATAAAGTGGTCACTGGCCCTGTTCATAGAAGATCATACACGCTAGTCCGGGCGTTTTTTTTTTTTTTTGTTAATTTTTTTTCTGTTTCTTTTCAACATGGTGTGGAGAACGCAACAAAAAAAGATTTTAAGAAAATAATATTTAAACAGAATAGCAATTTTGAGTGCGAAAGAACGGCATATTCGATTTGTGAAGTTTTTGCTTATGTCACGTTTAATGACACCTACTACGCAAACTATAACTGTCAGAAATCTTGACTGTTTTGCTCTTAATTATAATAGAGAGAGTAATATTGTCACGTTCCTGAAGTGACGCTTAAAGTGGAAGACGAAGAAGGGGAAAAGCTCGAGCACAAAGGAAAAGAATGAGCTCGCGAGAGACATTCGACGACTGAACCTGAAGGGCGGCAGCTGACACGGCTCCGCTCCAGGTCTTCTCGCCACCATCGAGCCGGAGCGACGTCGTGCTTGCTGCTCGCACCAGAGGCTCGGAGCATTGGACTTTGAGCTCGAAGACGGACACGAAGGAGTGGCCTCGCAACATTCCTGTCAACCCAGGCCGCGCACCTGGTTGGTCAAGCGACACCATCGAACCGGTGCTGGGTGGCTAAGAGCTCCTAGCAAGCTTGGACCCACACCGGTGACATCGAAGAACAAAGCCTGGTTCCGTCCCAAGCAAGATCGACGCTCGAGACTGTGAGTGTTCTCAGCTGCGACCGAGACTGACTGTATCTATTTAACCACTCTATTTTTGTTCTTTCGCTTCTGCTTATAATTTATTTTCCTGTTCTGTTCTTTGTTGTGCTTGTGAGTAAATTAATCTTCGTTCGTCTACTTATGTGTCGCTTCGTCTTTCGACTTTCCCTCGTCCCCTCGGAGGAGCATGACAATTGGCGAGCTTGCCAGGATGATGGCCCATTCTGACGTCTTGTTCTCCTGAGAGGGAGAGGAGCTTCGGAAGGCGAAAGGCATCCAGGGTCATGGAGGTAGAGAGATTAACGGCTGTCGGAAAGGAACTGGGCTATGCTGGGCCAGAGTTGAAGAAATCTGTAGACTACGAAAGAGCATGGATGGGAGAAGATGACACACTCAATGAAGTAACGAAACTCAGGGAATTCTTGGAAATGGACGAGGTGTCACCTAAGAAGTGGCTAGAAGGTCACCTTTCGTTCGTAAAGCAAGAGTGGGAGCTGGAATGTGAAGAATGGGAAAGGCTATGGCAAGAGACGGAGAATGGAGGTGACGGAGATTCCTTAGAAATGCAGGAATGTAAAAGAGAGACGGCCGCACGACTGTCGCGTCTTCAGGCAGAATCTCGTAGCCTGAAAGATATGATCGGGCTTTTGGAAGCCATAGTGACTGCGGCTCAAGATGCAATGTGCGCATCAGTTGAAGAGCGATCCGTTGATGGGAAATTTGAGGATGACTTGATAACAGTCCCCCGTAGCCTGGGTGCAGACACAAAGGCGTCTGCCAGGGAAATGAGATTACTCGGGGAGGCTTCGAAACCTTACGGAGGTTTAAGCTGCACCCCAGAAACGGCGAGAACTGAGATGCCGAGCGTGCAGGACGCAACCAATGCATTGTGGGTGGGGCTTCTAGCCGCTGATGCTTCGGAATTCCGACAACGAGATAGCGGCAAAAAGTCCGAATTAAAAAAATGTCTGACTGAATCTCGTCGAACGAAACGCAGCGTTGTTCCTGCGAGAGGACCACAGAGTCAAATGTCTTACCTAGTGCAGATCAGAGGAGGGCGGAGAGAGCGCTTCATGGTACGCAAGCTTCGACACCGAACAGGAATCACTGGGCTTGGACAGGACGCACGCCAGATAAGCAGGAGTCAGAGACGAATTGTCCAGAAGATGCGGAAGCAAGTTCGGATACAAAAATAAACCGGAAGCCCTAAATGCTCAGAGGTTGAGTCCGACCCTGCTGAGGCCAGCCTAGCACAGAGTGAGTGTGACGCCAAAGCGCGGTTAGATCCTGTGCCGAGCTGGTCAGCTCGAAGGCCCAGGTTGGGCGGTTAGCTAATTTATATTTAGAATGCCAATTTAATACTGACATTTTGACAGGACACTGTACACAGCATGTCTGTACCGTTTGCTGCGAGTCATAAGCTGCTCCGTTTTTGTTTGTTTTTCGTCTTTCGATTTGGCACTTTTGGCATGGCGGTTTCAGCGTTTTCCTTTTAAACTTTCACTTGGTAAGTGAGTTATACGTGGTATTCGAACTCTAAACAAACTTCGGGTTTTCGAAGTTTCGTGATGATACTTCGCTACTTTCAGGCCAGTTATTTGGGATCAAGTTTGTGATTTTTTGTTTTTTCTTCTTCTGGGACTAAGCGTCCAGTAATAACTTACATTATAAATTTAAGTTTTTTTTTGACATTTCTTCAACCAGGGAAGATATCACCGAATCGTAAACTCATTGCAAGGATTCAAGTGGTTTTTGTATGGTAGGACGTTCCGAGTCCAGACCGCCCATCAGCCTTTGGAATTTTTGAACAAAGCCAAGCACACCAACAGTCGAGTGATGAGATGGAGTATGACGCTACAAGATCAAAGTTTTCATGTAGAATACATTAAGGGTAGAGACAACATGAGGGCTGACTTTATGAGTCGCGTGTGAGGAGTCGTGTCTAGCGTATATAATTTACCAGGGAGCTTTGAGTCCATTTGGAACAAAGTTAGAGCAAAGTTACAGAAAGGTTTCCAGAAGCAGACGTCTGGCCCAAACTTTCAAAGGATAAACTGTTGAGCCTGAACGAGTGTTATGAACAGTGTAAGACTGGTGCGAATATCAAGGTCTCATTTTGTTTTTATGTGTACGTTGATGTTTGTATGCGTGTGTGTGTGGTGAGCGTTGTGAGGAAGACAAGCAACGTCAACGACGTCATGCACATATCATCAGAACTTTGACGTTTCTTCGCCTCAATTTGTGAGGCCCTTGAAGAAGGGGGGAGTGTCACGTTCCTGAAGTGACGGTTAAAGTGGAAGACGAAGAAGAGGAAAAGCTCGAGCACAAAGGAAAATAATGAGCTCGCGAGAGACATTCGACGACTGAACCTGAATGGCGGCAGCTGACACGCCAACGCTCCCGGCACACCAGGCTTCGCTCCTGGTGAACCCTGGCTCCGCTCCAGGTCTTCTCGCCACCATCGAGCCGGAGCGACGTCGTGCTTGCTGCTCGCACCAGAGGCTCGGAGCATTGGACTTTGAGCTCGAAGACGGACACGAAGGAGTGGCCTCGCAACATTCCTGTCAACCCAGGCCACGTGCCTGGTTGGTCAAGCGACACCATCGAACCGGTGCGGGGTGGCCAAGAGCTCCTAGCAAGGTTGGACCCATACCCGTGACATCGAAGAACAAAGCCCGGTTCCGTCCCAAGCAAGATCGACGCTCGAGACTCTGAAGCGTGTTTCACATGCAACGATTTTGGCCCTAGAGCGACGCGATTTCTGCCGTCGCAGCGCTCGTGCCCCTCAACAGCTGGTGCTGGCCAGAGCGCCGCGACGGCAGAAATCGCGCCGCTCTAGGGCCGAAACCGCTGCATGTGAAACACGCTTGAGTGTTCTCAGCTGCGACCGAGACTGACTGTATTGACTGTAGCTATTTAACCTAGGGTGCCTTCATGTGCGCTTTGCTTAGGGTGGTGGCATCTCGCCATTTTGTCCCACACGTTTATTTTTATTTTTTGTTCAGAAGCGCGTGAAAGAGCGTGGCCCTGCACGCGTTTGTGGCGTTGACTGAGCTATGGCGACATTTTGTTTTCGTCGATTTCTTTGTATTTTCCCCGTGAGCGCGTGCTGTCGGCATTGGGTACTACAAAGGGTGGCATCACCCTAAACAAAAGGACATTGAGGCACCCTAATTTAACAATATTTTTGTTCTTTCGCTTCTGCTTATAATTTTTTTTCCTGTTCTGTTTTTTTTTTTTGTGCTTGTGAGTAAATTAATTTTTGTTCGTCTACTTATGTGACGCTTCGTCTTTCGACTTTCCCTCGTCCCCTCGGAGGAACATGACAAATATGAAGTGAAATATGTGCAGCACTGTGGATATTATATATTTCGGGTAATAAATTCGCAAATATGCTCCTTTGGCGGTTTGTCACTAGATTTCTGAGCCGTTTCCGACAAACATTAAATGGCTAAAAAAATAAAATATATGTCGAAAATTCTTATTAAAATGTGCTTTCGATATGATATATACCTAATTGTTTTATCTGAAAGATTGCAATTTTTATGTATTGACCAGCACGTGAGCATTGGCTTGCGGTGTAGGAAGGGCTCCCTGTGCTTTTCTTTTTCCACGTGGACCCTTCTGGTCGACGACTGAAGGCTCGGTAGCCGGCGATGTGAAGCTCTGGCACTCGGGCTTCCTGTAGTAGGATCGTGCTGGGGAGGTTGGCGCTTGCTGCCACCCGTTTTCTTAGTTCCGTACCTTGCTGTCGGTAGGAGCGACAATTCCACTGTAATACTCTTAGTCCAGGGCCGAAAGGATCCGTTGGCTGGCCGGTTAGTGCAGAGTCAACGCGGCCTCTCCTGCTGCCTACTGCTGGGTACGACGTCTGCGTGGGGGGCGATGAGGAAGGTTGCTATAAGTGCTGTGAGGTTATTGATTTTCTCGATTGTTGCAGCAACAAGCGTTACGGTTTGCAAGATTGACTGCTCGATGCGCGTTGGGGATGTATCGTGTTTCTGAGAAGTGGGTTTCAAGGCGGAGGTTTTTACATTTCGTCGTTGTGGGCGTGCATTAAGGCTCCTTGTCCTGGCCATGTACTGTGCTGACGGTGGTGGAGGTCTAGGTGGCGGGACACGATCAGGATTTGTTTGGAGACCCAATGGGGTCGGGCGCGACCACGCCGGGGCACGCGGAAGCAACAGGGTCTTTGGAGACTGCTTTAGTGGCGGTAGTGAGTTGAGGGCCGCCCACGCATCCTCCGTTTCACTATGGTCTTTGGCAAAGGAAGGTGGAGGCGGTTTGGCGTACAGCGTTGTCCGTTGTGGCTGTTGCCCCCTGCGCTGTGGCGGAGCAGCCCACCGCTTACGACGTTGTGCTGAGGCCTTTTGCACCCTCGAACAGGAACCGTCGGCCGCGAGGTGAGGACCCCCACATATGGCTGCACTGATGGGGTTCGCGACAGCCCTCTATCTCATGGCGGTGGGGTGGTCTTCCGCACACACAAATGGCCTGCGCTGCTGGGCACACGTCATGCTGGTGGCCAAGTTGGTGGCAGCGAGTGAGCATGATGGCCCTTGCTCTGAAGGGGACCACTTTTTTGTGGTGGAGGCGATAAACCACTTCTTTGGGAAACGTGGAACCCTCAACGTTGGTTACAACAGCCCTCCCTTCTCGATCCATGAGCCTGGCTGCCAGAAGTTTATGCGTATGGCACGAGAGTTCTCTCAATAGGTCCTCAGGCGAGTCTAATGGACCGGTTCCGTAAAAAACTCACCGGGCCCATCCTTCGCGCATTGATCCGTATGGTCTGAAATTAATCTTGTTTATACCAAAATTAATTTCGGTGATTTGCAGTAACTTTGAAACGATAACTGGTTAGCAGGTGTCAACTGCGATTAGATTGCACTTAGTATGTATTCGTATGCGACATTTCTGTGACAGGGTCCCAGCCGCTTTGACAACACGTCGTTGGATCCGTGTGTGCGGGGCGATGCCGCGTTTATCCCGTGAGGTGGGTGCAATATGACGGTGCGGCGTTCTTCCCTGGCTCTCAAGGAGAAGGTTTGTCGTGCGTGCTAGCTGGGGGCGGTTAAGGTAGGGGTCCACGAAGGTACCTGGCGGCGGCGTTTACACGATGCCGGAAGCGTCATGGCATCGCGTAAATTTCACCATGACAGAGCTACAGGCCGCAAAATTCTCAATCACAAAGTTGCACGGTGCCCCGGGACCCGACATGATAACTCTTTCAGCCATGCGCAAACTTCTAGAAGCGGCTGTGCAAGAACTCATGGGCGTTTTAAATAGGGCCTGGGACATGGGTCAACTTTTCGACCCCTGGCATCACGCCGCGGTTATACTTATCCCCAAGCCCGGCCAAACCCTTAGTCGCCTTTCGGACCACCTCATGCGGCCCATTTCTTTGACTTCCCATGCCCGAAATCTCATGGGGAGGATGGCTCTGATGCGGCTAGAATGGCACGTTGAAGCCAGCAACGTCCTCCACCCCAGGCAGACCGGCATGCGTGAGGGACTCAGCCCGCAAGACTCGCTCGCCCTCCTCGCTGAAGAGCTCACGGGCGCACCTTCAGCACTTCGGTCGGCAGGGCCCAAGCATCACCAGCTCGTCTCGGGCTGGGGGTCCCACAAGGCGCAGGGCTTTCACCACTACTTTACAACCTATTAATGGCAGACTTGAGTTACCGCCACGACGAGCTTCCCAGTGTCCGCCACTTAATTTACGCGGTCGACATCACAATACGGACGACGGGCGGCCCAATCGGTCCACAAAGCGATGCGGCCCGGAAAGCCCTTGACGTTGTCCATCGGTTCCGTGTTGAGGGCGGTCTAACTTCTTCACCAGATAGGAGGCAATACGCCATCTATGGAAACGCCACCGCAAGCCGTGAGGCGGCCTCGTGTATTGAGCTGAAGTTCGGGAGCACCGTTATTGACGACACCAACGTGCTGCGTGTCCTCGGTGTGGAATTCTCCACGCCCGAACCGCCTAAGACATCGCTGAGCAAGATCAAAGCCTCGGTCAACCATATGCTCCACCTCATCCGTCGCACTACATTCAAAGATTGGGGCGCCGACACCCACACTCTACGCATGGTGGTTCGAAGTCTGATCCAGGACAAAATAATCTATCGTGTTTTCTGGTGGGTCTCACCAGAAAACAACATGAAGCCCTAGAGCTTCTAAAGCGGCGTGCCATGCGCATAATCACGGGCCGTCCGAACTTTACGCCGATTGATGGGCTTCAAGCTCATGCAGGCCTCCACACCATTGGCGATGTGCTGCACGAGGCACGCCTCGGGCGGCACCTCCGCCTCTCAAGGTTCACACCCGGCGGCTCCAATCTCAGGCTTCTCGGTCTGCCGCCCGTTGAAGGGGTTTCCCCACACAGTTAAAGTTGTCCACCTTTAAGGGCGTAAAACGGGTGTTGTAGCAACTCACACCCTCGGCTACACCCTTTTAACACCCTAAATTCTAGAAATACACCCTGATAAGTTTACCGAAAGAGGTGCTGTTTCGTGTTACACCCTGCATATAGCGAAGGATGTGAGAGGGGTGTAGAAGAGGGTACTAAATAAATATTATGAAATGGTTTTGGAAAGCTTATATATGGCCCTGTTCATAATGTACGGGTAAGATTTCTGCTTGAAAAGCAACAGTTGTTAGCAGTCTAGTTTGTTTTATAATGTCAGTTGTAATTCATGCATATAGCTGATAATAAAGTGCCTCTGTTGCATACAATTTTTATGTTTGCAAGCAAAATTTTATATGAGTTCATATTTAATATTTTTACAAATCACTCCATTCTCAGAAATGGGAAACTAGGGTGAAATGCTCAATACTAGCATTTTTTACAAATATTTATTGATGGAAGTGTACAGGAAGAAAATCAGTTAGTCTCGGGTTTATATCTGACAACATGCAATCAAGATATAGTAAGAATGTTTAACAAATATTTATGACATGCTGCTAGAACCTGTCACATGACCATGTCAACCTGGGTAAATTATTCATTTCAGAATATAATGACATGCGCAAAAACGCACACACATAAAGAGGCAAAACCCATAATAAATTAGTCCGAGGCATACCATACAAAAATGGTCTATGGTCGTCTATGAGAAAATTCAATGGCAGGCTATCACCCCCTCTAGCTTCGCATGGTCGGCCTTAGAAATTTATAAATACAGCTGCAGCCAGCTATAGAAAAGTTTAGGGCCCTGTGTCTAAAGACTGGGAACCAATCAATCTTTTTTTTCCGCCTCTAGTAAATTCTATGATCCCTAGTCTAAAGACTGGGAACCAATACATTTCCTTTACCCACCTAAAGAAAATTCTGTGGCCCTGAGTCTAAAGATTCAGGGCTATGTTTCAATAACAACAACAACAACAATAATAATAATAATAATAATAATCAATAAGTTAGTGTGTTAACTGTGTCCAGGGACATCCAATTGTTCTTCTTGCTGGCGCAGTGCAATAGAACGCACAAACAGACGCTTGCACGCTCGCAGTCACACACATACACGCGCGCATGCACGTACACAGGCATGCACACGCGCAAACGCCCGCCCGCGCGCAGACGCACACGCACGCAACGAACAAGCAGAGAGGCGCACACGCATGCACGCGAACGCATCCACTAGCGCGCGCATAAACACACGCACGCGCATGCACGCACACACACGAAAAAAAAAATACGACGAAGGAAGTGTTGCTTGAGTTAGTTCGGTTTGGGTTTACACAAAAAAGAAACAACCTAAAGTTTTAATGAAACCTAAGATTTACTCACTTTCTGTAATGTTTTACAATGTTATTGCAGTGGCATTGTTATTGTTACTAATATAATAATAATTTGCTTAGTATCGTTCTGAAGAAATAAAAATAAAAAAAAGAGAAAGAGACTCTTGAAGACTGCGCAAGACCATCGCTATTGCAATTAACTTCCCTTGGGCTGCCGAACTTGAATGGTCGTTGGAGTTCCGGAGGGTTCGGGAATCTCCTTTCTTTTTTACGTTGTATACGTTTTAGCGGATGTTTTGGATATCTTCCTTATGAATACCGTGTCCAAGAATAGCAAGCAATGACTAAGAGCTGGGAGACGCTGAGTCTTGCAAACGCCCGTAAGTTCAGGACAGCACGGACGACTCGTGCAAACGCCGGTAAGGAACTTTCTTTTGTTTCTGCGAAGTGGGCTGCTGTTTCAAACTTTGTCGTGTACCGTGTGCTTGCTAAGCTGTGCTTTATTTTAACTATGCTTCTGTCCTGTGTTATTTTGTTATTTGAAAAGAGCGTATTTTCTTCAAAACCTGTGTCTCGCTCAGCAGTGTGAGAAGGATTCCCGCGCGGCGGAACCGTGGGCATGTTCTGGGCGCCGTCCAACGACGCTCCTCCGACGACGATTTTGCGGTGCGTTCAAGTGTTGTCTGAGGGACGTTCAAGCATTCAATCACCGTCCGAAAGTATTAATCACAGGTCATGCTAGTTCTGACTTCTTGTACCAACAGCCGCTCGCCACCGATTTGTTTAAAAACGAGGGAGCGAGTAGAACTTTACAAGAGCGAGCAGCATGACTTTTTTGCCTAAGCTAATGCCTCTGCCGTGGAGACGTGCGGTCTCTTCGCGTTTGCCGAAGCGGCGCACTTTCCAAGTTCACGATTGTGTGATGTAAAAAAAAAGTTTGGATGTAAAAACTTTACAAGAGCGAGCAGCATGATTTTTTTTGTCTAAGCTACTGTCTGTGCCGGGGAGACGTGCGGTGTCTTCGCGTTTGGCGAACCGGCACACTTTCCAAGTTCACGATTGTGTGATGTAAAAAAAAAAGTTTGGATGTAAAAACTTTACAAGAACTAGCAGCATGATTTTTTTTTTTTGCCTAAGCTAATGCCTGTGCCGTGGAGACGTGCGGTCTCTTCGCGTTTGCCGAACCGGCACTCTTTCCAAGTTCACGATTGTCTGATGTACAAAAAAAAAAAAGTTTGGATGTCACGTTTTTAGTGGTGGCGAAAGCCCTTACAAAAAGCAGAGCAGCTAGTAAAAAGCATGAAAAAAGGTGGAAAAAAAATTAATTGAAACGCTAATGTCAAACCTGAATATTCGATGGATCTGAAACACTACCACCGTACCAACTCACCCGGATATTTTTTTCTGTCAAAGACTAATAGCCAATAGGAATAAAGAAATAAATGCCAACTATTAATTAGTTACAAATTCGTAATTGATGCAGTACAGCCCTACCCTGCTCTACTGTTTTTTTTTATATCAGCTTATGTGCAAATGTATAGGACAGTTCATAGCAGCCATTTATGTCCGACCCATTATATTGAATGTTTTCTCAAAGAGCTCGAAGTTATATAAAAACGTGCTCTTCATAAATTAAGCCGCACCAATGAATGCACAATAGCGTGTGACTTGTGTGTATGTTCTCAGCGAAAGAAACAAACGCATTCAAAAAGGGTCAGTCGAATTGTTTCCTCTTTCTTAGAGCTTCTTTCAGGTACATGCAAAATGCGGATGTCTACGTCTAAAAGAGTGGAATTGACATTTCCTGCAGGGCTGGCAGGCCTTAATCAGTTTGTCTAGCAGCTTGAAACCTATGGGAGCTTAGGGAAATGCACCACAAGAGTGGGAGTGACACCCTCCCAGCACTTTCTCGACGATGGCACCATGAGGAAGGGGGAGCAGCCCTAAAGCGAATGCAATTGCAAGTGGCTCGTTCATGTGAACCCTTATACAGATGGTACCTAGCAGAAAATATTAAAAACACGG